CTGATTTAAAAAGAGCCATATCTCAATATGCATTTGTAATATTTGTTACATAAACTATGGCTTTGATTGCTTTTTTGGCGAGCTTTTCCTGATTAACTTGCTTATTTCTCTTGTTTTTTGGGTATGTGTGCTTCTGGTTTATTGACCCCTTTAATAAAGCCAATATCTTTATCTCGTAATAATTTAATGTACATTCCCTCTCGTGAGTCCTCCTCGTCACCTCTATTTATATATAAACTATGCTAAATTAAACACGTGACATTGTTGTGGAGAATTTTTATTTAATATTATAGTATGAATATACAATTAATTACACTTAATTAGATTTTATAGTTCACAAAGTCATCTTCCTCTTCTTTTATAGTTTTATTAAAAAATGATGTATTTCTAAAAATAAATAATATTTCAGTATTGAAAAAATAATAATAACAAGAAAAATTTACCTCTGGATTAATTTTGTAATGACATTTAGTCATTTCCAGAATCTTTTTATTTGTTGGTACGTCAGGTCCTAAAACAAAATTTGTTTAATATGGTACAGTGCAAATTTACTCATTTACTTAGTACGACCTCCAAAAAGCTAGTAAATACAAAAATTTAGTCTAAATTGACCTGATTCTATAGTTTATTTTTATGAACGAGAGAGTAATTAGCATAATTTTAACTGGTACCTCCGACCACTCCATGGGCGTGCTCAAGATTAGTTGAAAAATTACTTTGAATAATTGTGAAAAATAAATGAATTATTTCAGTGTTATAAAGTATTATGTGTATGTAAACAAAAGTGACCTCTTTTATCATACACTATATTAGAACTGACTGGCCTACATTAAAAAGGGTTTTAAAAAATTCACATATTTTTATTTTCAAAAATTACAAAAAAAAAGAGTTTTTAAAACCGTCTAAGGTATGTTAAATAGATGAATAAAAATATTAATGTAAAACTTACAGCTACTTGTTACAAATCCAAATCAGATTCAGAAGATGAACTTTCAGAACCAAGATTTATAATAACTGGCTCGATTATTTTATCAGTAATATTGTCCAGGTTCCACATTTTTTCCTCTTCTTTCATAGTGCGATTTACTGCCTTTTCCCAGTTTTCAGGTTTTACATTATTTACGGCCTCCAAAAACAACTGTTTAACATCATGAATTTTAAAAGTGGTATTTTTTCTTGAAACTTCACTCTTTATCTGTGCCCATACCAGTTCAATCGGGTTTAATTCACAATGATATGGTGGGGATCTAAGTACTGTCATTCCACGATTTTTGGCAATTTCATCAATTTCGTATTTTTAAAATTTTTCTTTATGAAGGGCACACAACGAATAAAGTTGCTTTCTTATAGATCCGGGATGGTACGTAATATTTTTTGAACTCGGCCAATTCTGCAAGTCTTTTTTTAACCACTTGGTTGTGGGCAGTCCTTCTATAAGTCTGGAGTGATAACTTACATTATCCATTACTATTACACAGTTCTTAGGAAGAAGATCTATCATTTGTTCGAACCATTCTTGAAAGACATCAGCGTTCACGTCTTCATGGTAGTCACCGGTACGAGTTGATTCAAAAGTTAATAAACCACCTTCAAAAAAACCGTCTGAACTGCCAATGTGTACTATTATCAGCTTGCGTCCCTTTCCTGATGGTGGGTTTAAACCAGTAGATAAGTTATTTACAAAAGCGTGCCTTTGACTTGTAACAGTTTCATCCTGCCAAAATTTATTTGGTGTATGACCCTCGTTGATCCATGTTTCATCAAGATAAAATATTTTTCTTTTTTGGTTTCTCATTTCCTTTATGGTTCTTAGAAAATGTCTTCTCCATATGACAATATCGCTTCTTTCTAATAAAATAGACTTTCTGGGATTCTTTTTCCAGCGGAAGCCTATGTCTTTTAAATGTTTCCATAACGTACTACGACTCATTTCTGGGTAATCCTTATCATCTCGAACTGAGACAAGAACTTTATCCAATGTTAGAAATTCTTGTCTAAAGAAGAATTCATGCACTTTCTGTCGAAGTCCTTCTTTAAAATGATATTCTATTTGAAATTTTGGTTTCCCTGGAGCATTACGTGGCATTTGAAAACTACCACATTTCTTTTCTTTAATAACTCTGTAAATCGTAGATTTCCCAACACCAAGTGTACTGCTAACTAACTCAACGGTCTCATCAACACTTTCACATAAACGTTTGTCTGTAAATGATTTAAAACAATTAAATATTAATGTTTTTTCATTAACTGTTAAAGGACCAATTTTTCGGCGTTTACACGACACTTCCAAATTTTCCATAACACTAGTATACACAATAAACTGCACCTTGCAACTGAAGTACCTACTTTTAGTGAACTGTTAAGAATTTTGATTACGCCACTTGGACCTTCCTACAAAATGGAAAAACCCACTATCACATTTTCTGTGGAATAAGTTTAGAAGGAAATTATCTAGTCAATTACTGTCGTAGATTCCTGGAATTAAAGAATTAAATGTTTGATTGTTGAAACCCTTACTTCGTGGAATGCACTCCTTTCAGATAAAATAAAACGTTTTATTTTATCTAAAGAATTAAACTTTATTTTTCAAATAGGTAGGTACTTATTAAACTTTTATTGGTTAGATATATATATATATATATATATATATATATATATATATATATATATATATATATATATAATATATATATATATATATATAACCAATAAAATAAACCTCTTACATTTCTTGCAAATTCATTAGTACCTGTTAACCTCCATGACTCCGACACTGGCAACCTTATTTAGGGATTAGTAACCCTCACAAGTATTGTATTCTATTCTGCTCCAACCTTTATACCTGGTGGTCATACTCAATTTAAAATTGTTTTCCTATATACTTCTGTAAACTTGTTGACAAATATCTGTTTTTCATTGAGTCACCCGTATCAACAGTTTAGGGATTTGCATACATACTTTATTGTTTTATTACTCTCTCATACATAAAAATACACTATAATAATTTTTAAAAATCAGAAAAACCCATTTCTTTTTGTGTTGGAATCAATTAAAAATACTATATATCAAGGACACCATAAATCTCCTGCTATAGACTAAGTTGCTGTACTTGCTATAGTTTAAAAGTCATACACTACTTAATTGAGAACCCTTAAAGCACTTACTGGATTACCTCTGTAATTGTGCCTTTGCATTAAAAAATTTTATCATAGAATGCAACAATTAAAAGTTAATCATAATCATAACGCCGTCTAGATCTAGAGCTAGGATTAATACTATTACAAGAATTAATATTAAACTCAAGTCTTTTGGGTTAAGCTACGTCATGATTCACGCAGAATTGACGCGAGGGCTGGCGCAAACATATCTGACAGTACGATTTTGATTGGCGGGTGAAGCGGACGATATTTTCTTTATAAGAGCTCTCCATGTCAAGGGTAACTTTATACCGTCATTTCTGTTATTCAGACAATTTGGCCTTGTTTCAGTTTCTATGATTTTTTCGGATAATTCTGGATTTATAAAAGCGAGTGGGGGATATGGTTTTGAAGTTTTCACTTTCAAATCACATCAAAAGAGTATAGGGGACAACATTGTTCTTCAAACACTGTCGTTTTTATTTGTTTGCTGTTAGAGTTCCATGTTCAATGAAAATTAATTTGATCGACCGTTGAAAGAAATACCTCCCATAGCATAACACCTTCATCACCAAACCACCTTCGTTTTCTTAAAACCACTATACACTAAAAAAATATAGAAAAAATACAAAATGCAATTTTCTTTTTTTTGAGCAGGAGTGTAATAATTACTACAAAATGTGGTAAATTTAGGCTTAATTTAATCCAGTCACTTAAGGACAAATTAGCAACTGTAAATAAATTACTTCTCTGATTTGAAAACACCTTTTATTACTGAATTCAGTCGTCTTGAACATGGTTTGACTTCTTAATCACTAGTCCGTAATGTAGAACCCAATAAATGCATGGAAGTAAAAACCATGAAATTATTAGCAATCAAATAGACTACATTTTAGTAAATAAAAAATTCCGAAACAGCTTTAGATCTGTCAAGACTTATCCTGGAGCAGACTTTGAGACAGACCACGGTCCACTGGTGGAAGTATTTCGAGTCAAACCCAAAACAGTGCAGAAAAAAAGCAAAATCTTACAACCTACACGTGCTGAAAGACCTTGGTACGAAGATGAGAGTCCAAGCGACGTTAAATGAGCAAGTGACTGCAATTAGAGACGAATCGAATAAAGAACAAACGATCAAACACATTACAGAAATAGTGCAAAATGGTAAAGATCCTGATACTAGTTGACGAAAAAATAGAAGGCAAAAATGAACCAGACAAATATAAAACCCTAAATATATTAATAAGATATTTCGGCTGTTTGATTTTCTCTCTGTTGAATATCGAGACGAGTAAGAATGGGATGGCAGCGTTCGGCAAACTTTCTTCCGTTCTTAAAGATTAAACAATCCCTCTATACTTACGAAGTAAGGTATATAACTCCTGTATAATACCGGTGCTCACCTACGGAGCACAGATATGGACATTTACACAGGCCAATTTGAATAGGATAAGGAAGGCACAAAGAGCGATGGAGAGATAAATGTTGGGTGTATTACTTAGAGATAGAAAACGTAACCAGTGGATCAAAACCAGAACAAAGACAGTAGACGCGATAGAACAAGCAGCAAGACTGAAATGGAAATGGGCTGGACACAATGAACGTCTCCAAGACGGACGATGGAACAATGCCATCGGAAAGTGGCGTCCATACAATGCAAAGAGATCAAGAGGCAGACCACAGATGAGGTGGAAAGATGACATTAGGAAACAAGGAGGTCCCACATGGCAGAGAACAGCTCAAGATAGGGAAAGATGGAGAGAACTGGGGGAGACCTATATCCAACAATGGAAGGATAGAGAATAGGTTCAAAAAAATATTAATAAGAATGAAAATCAGAGAAGCCAACGAAAAAGATGTCAGAGGAATATGCGAAGAAATTGAGACTCTGCAGTCAACGTACGATAGTCGCAATTTACATAGGAAAGTTAAAGAATTCACAGGAGGACTTAGACGAAAGCAGAAAGGAAATATAACTATTCTGACGGAAACATCATCTTGGACAAAGAGAGTAAAATAAAAACGTGAAAAGAATATCTAGAAAAACTATTTAAAGACCAAAGAGATAACACCTTTGAGCTAGAAGAAGAGGTAAATGATGGACTAAGAATATTAAAGCAGGGCATTTATTTTGAGCAATAACATAGATAAAGTATGGAAAGGCGGCAGGCCCTGATAATATACAAGCAGAACTACTCAAACTAATGGATAACGAACCAACAGCAATAATCGCAAAGATATTCAACAACATATACAACTCTGAAAAAATACCAACATAATGGCTGAAATCTGAGTTTCTTGCACTTCCAAAAAAAAAACAGGAGCCAAAATTTCGAAGATTTCTCTACTATAAGCCTCATGAGTCATCTCCTAAAATTGTTCCTATAGATAATTCATAAGAGAATCTACAAGCTCTTTCGATACATCCTCAATATCAAAATTAACAAAAACAAATGAAAAGAATATTCTGCAGGAATGTAAACATTAAAACGCAACTTAGGATTTCTTCATAACAATTTTATTGTTAGATAGCACTGGGTAAACTGAAAGACCCAATGATACAAGCAAAAATAAGCAATGAAATAAACGCACAAATTCAAATATTAACGACAAACATTACCGAAGATCTAACACCAACATGGAATACGATTACAAATGCTGTAACAGACATCATGAAAAACAACTTAGGGTATAAACGAAATAAAAAGAGGCAAAAATGGATGACAGAAGAAATACTATTACTAATGGAAGAACGACGAAGACACAAGAATAACCAAGATGGCAGCAATATGTATGAAAACATTAACAGGCAAATAAAAGCAAAAATAAGAATAGCAAAAAATGAATGGCTTAAGCAACAATGTATCGATCTAGAATATTTACAACGACAGCACGACGACCGTAATTTACATAAAAAGCTTAAGGAGACTGCTGGAATATACAGAAAACGAAGACCAACTACCATAGTTAATCAGGACAACCAGATAGTGCTGGGTGAAAAGGAGAAAATTGATATATGGGAAAATTATATCCAGGAGCTCTTCCATGACGAAAGACCCATGAGTGAAGTTTATACAGACGACCAGCTGACTGCCCTTCAATCACCAAAGAGGAGATAGAAAAAGCAATATTAAATTCAAAAAACAATAAGGCACCTGGACCAGATCAGATCCCGTCAGAAATACTCAAATTACTAGATGAAAGGGGAATTTCAGCACTACACAAAATATTTAATTTAATTTATGAAACTGGCTGCTATCCTCAACAGTGGTTACGCTCTACCTTTATTCCCCTGCCCAAGAAAGTCAATGCAAAAAGATGTGAGGATCACAGACTCATTAGCCTGATGAGTCACACTTTAAAGATATTCTTAAAAATACTACATCAAAGATTATACAAAAAATGTGAATGGGACATCAGTGATTCCCAGTTCGGGTTTAGGCAAGGTTTAGGAACACGAGAAGCAATAGTAGCAACACAGGTGCTGGTCCAAAATTGTTACGATCAGAGGAAGGATGTGTTTCTATGCTTTTTAGATTACCAAAAAGCGTTTGATCGTGTCCAACACCACAAGTTAATGCAGATTCTCAAGAGAGTTGATATAGACCAAAAAGACATAAGATGCATTGAAAACTTGTACTGGCATCAAACGGCACAGCTAAAAATAGACAATTCTATATCCAAGCCCATACATATAAGAAGGGGCGTTCGACAGGGATGTGTGCTTTCCCCTCTTTTATTTAAAATTTATTCGGAAGCCATATTTCAAGAGTCTTTGGAGGATGCAGAGATGGGAATTAAGGTGAATGGAGTATTGATCAACAACATACGATATGCTGATGATGGTGTCTTAATTTGTGACAACATAGTCGATCTTCAACAACTTGTCACTAGAATCGGAGAATACAGTGAGCGAATGGGATTAGAGATTAATACCAAAAAGACCAAATTCATGATCATCTCCAGAAACTTGGATGCACTTGAAAACTCCACCATAACACTGAATAGTAAATCCATAGAAAGAGTGAGTAAATTTAAATACCTAGGATCGTGGCTTTTTGAAGACTGGGCATCGGACAGGGAAGTAAAATGTCGCATTGAGCAAGCTCGACAAGCTTTCGTAAAATTCAAGAAGGTACTGACTTGTTCAGAGTTCGATCTTCAACTGAGACTAAGGTTTACTAAGTGCTACGTATGGTCAGTGCTGCTATATGGCGTAGAGGGCTGGACACTCAAAACGAGAGATATAAACAGATTGGAAGCTTTCGAAATGTGGCTTTATCGCCGTATCCTAAAAATACCATGAACAGCGAAAATCACAAATATAGATGTCCTTAAAAGAATAAACCAAGAACGCCAACTTTTCGAAACCATCAAGAAAAGGAAAACGGCGTATATAGGTCACATCATGCAAAATGAAAAATACCAGTTCCTCCAACTTATAATCGAGGGTAAAATTGAAGGCAGGGGAGGAATGGGACGCAAGAAAATGTCCTGGCTCCGAAACATAAGGCAATGGACAGAGATTAACGACATACAATCTCTGATACATATTGCAAGAAATAGAGAATTAATGGAAAATGTGATCGCTAACATCCATTAGTGGATTTGCATCTGAAGAAGAAGAAGAAAAACAATTTTATGGTATTGTATAGATTTTGATAAAGTATAAAAAGAAGCATTTATTATACGAATTTGTTCTAATAATAGCTATTTGCCCAAAATATTATATAAAAAAATAATTTTTTTCTTAAATAATAGTTGATAGAAAATTTAGTTGAAAAGTCAGATTGAATGTGTAAAACAACTGAAAGTATCCTCACCTAATTCTCTTGCAGTTTTGGCGCATGGTATATATTGGCTTAGTTCCTCTGGTTTAACTACTTTAACTGGCCAATAATGCTTTAGTCTTTCAGGTACTGCTTCCATGTTGGGTTTTAGCTAAAATAGTCAGAATAAAATATAGATTAAATAGTAGTGAAGAAACGAGGTTAATACTGCATTACTTAAAAATGTATACAAGTAATTAACAAAATATATACTTATCAAATACATCTTAAAAAAGTAGTAGGAATGACACGTAGAAATTTTTAGTAGAAATATATCGCCCTCTTTCTGGAAGATGTAAATTATTGACCTTCGGAGTACGAAGAATGGGTCAAGCGTGACCCGAAATTCACTTATTTCTTAATATTTCATGAAATAATTTTTTTACAAATCTGATTGTTCGTAAGTTCTCCTTATTTGTTTCAATCTATTTCTTCGTGTATCATTCGTGAACATGTAAATTGCAGTTTTTCCTCTACGTAAAATCTATGATGTCAGGTCAGTCCTGACCCGGTCTTCGGATTTTGGAGAATTTTTCAATGTGTTTGTATGTACACGTAAAACGTAGCCGTCTCTGTTTTCCTGTAAACGTATTCAAGGCAAAATGATTATGTTTGTAGAAATATTAGTAGATAGAAGTTAACCTAGAAGTTAACCTTGGGAGTAATGTAGTGTCTAATAGGCATATTCTGTGGGAACGTCCGAGACGAGAGGTCTAACTTTGGTGTAAAGCGGTATTTTACGTTTGTTGATCAATTTAATTTAAGCATCGATCTTGAAGTGTGCAGTATTATATCAAAATGTGGAAAAAGAATAAACCTTTAAGTGAAGCTGAGTTGTATGCCTTACTCCTATCAGATAGTGAAGAAGATGATGTTGCAGAGCTGGATGAAAGCAATAGTGAAGCGAGTGATAATGAAGGTTGTGAGCCAGAAGCACATAAAGGTAATTTATCAATTATTGAACTCGAGAATGAGGAAGTTTTAGCGACAACTTCTGAAAATATAGATAGTGAAAGATCTAGCGTATTTGATGTTTTGTGCGAAGGACGAACATGGCGTTATTTAGCTCCAACAAACGGTAAGACATTGGCATGTAATTTATTACAGAAAAACGTAGGTCTAACTAAGAAAAGTCAAAATACTGAGACATGCATGGATGCCTTTAATTTATTTTTTTCTGATAGTATAATGTTAATGATTCTTGAGTATACCAATAAGAGAGCTATTGAGTTCATAGCTGCGTATAACAGTAAGAACAAGAAAAAAATGAAGGATTGGATTGAAGTTGATCTAGTCGAACTGCGAGCTTTTTTTTGGTATACTTATATTATGTGGAAGGTTCAGAGAGTCCCATGAGAAGGTGCATAATTTATGGTCCAATACAAATAATGCATTTACGCGTCCTATATATAAAGCATCTCTAAGCCGGGATAGATTTATAAGTATTTTGAAGCAAATTCGCTTTGATAATTTGGAAACGAGAGCAGAAAGAAAAGAACGAGATAAATTAGCTCCTATTCGAGAAATCGCTGATCTATTTGCCCAAAATTGTAGGCAATCATACGAACCATCTGCTTTTGGTACTATTGACGAGCAGCTTATAGATTTTAGGGGACATAGTCCATTTCTGATTTATATACCAAGTAAACCAAAGAAATACGGTATAAAGGCTTGGACCCTATGTGACGCTGAAAATTTGTATTGCTGTAACTTTGAGATATATACTGGAAAGATTGGTGATCAATCTGAACGTAACCAAGGCCCAAGAGTTGTCAAAACACTTGCAGAACATTGGTATAGGTCTGGGCGAAATATTACAACTGATAACTTTTTACCGATATTGCTTTATCTGAAGAACTGTTAACCAAAAATTTAACTCTTTTGGGTACTATCAGAAAAAAAAAAGGAAGAGTTTACCCAAATCATTGCTCACTGTATTCTTCAAAATTTTTGTTCACTAAAAACATTACCTTAGTTTCATATGTAACCAAGCCTAATAAGTTTGTTGTATTATTATCGACCTTACACAATGAACATGAAATTTCTGATGAAAACCAAAGATTATTTTGGATTACAACAAAACCAAAAGTGAAGTCAATATTTTAGATAAATTGATCAGAGAGTACACATGTAAAAAAGCAACAAGAAGATGGCCCTTACGTATATTTTTCAACTTTTTGGATATTGCGTGCTGCAATGCTCTCGTTCTCTGGAATACGAAAAATCCTGAATGGAACAGCCAAGTAAATATAAAACATCGCAGAAAACTATTTCTGGAGGAGCTTGGAAAACGATTAACCTCGCCCAATATAAAACGAAGAGCGGAAGCAATACAAGAAGAACCCACCGGATACCCTAAATCCGTAATCGCGGCAATAGAGACCACCGGTGTTAGTGTAAAAAAGCAAATCAAAGTGCCGAAATCTGCAACAAAACGAGGTCGTTGTTATTCTTGTTGGGGTAGTGACAATAAATATTCAAAAAGGTGTGACATGTGTAAAAGATTTGTTTGTAATACTCATTCAAAACGCGAAGAAGTCCATATTGTCAAAATTAAATGCAACTACTGCCAAAAAGACCAGGATGGTGAACCATCTTAAAAAATTTAAATACAAAAATTTGGGATCATAATTTTTATGTGTCTTTGTTTTTTTTTGTTGAACTAAAGATACTGTTTAATAATACTGACTATTTAAAACATCCTTATAAATAGAATGAGAATGGGTCACGCTTGACCCATCTTCGTAATATAAGTAAGTCAAATAATCTCCGTACTCGAGGTTAAAGTCATGCATTTTTTTCTGCAGTAAGTGATGATTATTGGTATTGATGGATTCGACGGTTACTTGATGGAAATTCATTTTGTGTAACAATAAAACACTGAAAACTTTGTTTTTAAACTTCCACAAAATTTATTTTAAATATTATCACTAAAGCTGTTTTGGCTGATTGCCTTTCTCAAGTGATCTATTTTGGCTTGGGTTTACAAATTTATAGTCTCTAATGAAATAGGTTGTGGAGGGGAGAACTGTTTGTCTCAAGTTGGTCATTCAGAATTATATCTGTGTTTTTTAATTTGTTGATTTCCATAGACTCTAACAAAGATTGCTTAAGGCCTTTATTTTGAATGTGAAGAATTTTAAATTTGTCATTAAAAGAATGATTATGATCTAGAAGATGAAGTGCGTATGTCGAATCTGTTTTTCTATTCTTGAAAGCCTATTTATGTTCTGCTATTCGTTTATCAAAGTTTCTACCAGTTTAACCGATATGTAAGTTTTTGGGCAGTCGCCACATTGAAGTTTGTACACACCACTATTTAAGTGTTTTTTATTTTGTCTCTTGTTATTTTTAATATATTTGCCTAGGTTGTTATTTGTTCGGAAAGCTGGTGTTATTCCTTTCTTTTTTATGTGTTTGGCAATTTTTGTTGTTATTTTGCCTGTATATGTAATCGAGCAGAAGGTACTGGGTTTTTTCTCTGGTGGTGGAAATACTAATTTCAGGGCTTTCTTGTGTAGTTTTTTATTTAACATTTTATTAATTGTTTGTTCGTTGTATCCGTTGTTTACTGCTATTTGTTTAATTATATTTCATTCTGTCTCAAAGTTGTATTTTGACATCGGAATTTCTGTTAATCTATGTAACATACTCTGCCAGTTTATGTTGTGTTGGATGGGATGATGAATTGCGTATAGTCGTGTCAGTATGGGTAGGTTTATGAAATATGGAGAAGTCATGTTTGTTTTGTTTGCCAAACATATAAAAAAGAAAGGAATAACACCAGCTTTCCGAACAAATAACAACCTAGGCAAATATATTAAAAATAACAAGAGCCAAAATAAAAAAACACTTAAATAGTGGTGTGTACAAACTTCAATGTGGCGACTGCCCAAAAACTTACATCGGTCAAACTAGTAGAAACTTTGATAAACGAATAGCAGAACATAAAAGGGCTTTCAAGAATAGAAAAACAGATTCGACATACGCAGTTTATCTTCTAGATCATAATCATTCTTTTAATGACAAATTTAAAATTCTTCACATTCAAAATAAAGGCCTTAAGCTATCTTTGTTAGAATCTATGAAAATCAACAAATTAAAAAACACTAATAATTCTGAATAACCAACTTGAGACAAACAGTTCTTCCCTCCTCAACCTATTTCATTAGAGACTATAAATTTGTAAACCCAAGCCAAAATAGATCACTTGAGAAAGGCAATCAGTAGAAACAGCTGTAGTGATAATATTTAAAATAAATTTTGTGGAAGTTTGAAAATAAAGTTTTCAGCGTTTTATTGTTACATTATTGGTATTGCTAAAATACAAGTGTTTTTACCAATCATATCTTTTAGCTCCTCTATTTATTTTTCCCGATATAATTCTTGGTAATCGTACTCTAAATTTTTAGTAATTTGACATAACTTTATCGAAAGTCGTGTCTCTCTAATAGTTTACTGTAATTACCCTTTTGACAAAACAAATCTCTTATCTCCTCGCAAATTACTTCCTAAGGCTGTGGTCTCTAATTAACGCAGTACGCCGTATACAACTTTCAGCCCTGAATCGCATACGGCATTTTTTGGTTTTCCGGCAACTTCACGTAGTGACTCCACAATGTTAATCACAAACAGTATAAATTCATTTTTTACCAGAAGAGGAGAACAATGACGATTACTAAATACAAATGCCAGAGAAGGTTATTTTAAATAACTCCTGAACCACTTTTGTAATATCTATACCAAGTTTATTGTGCAAAGGTCTCCAATAAACGCTGTACGTCGCGTATAGCGTAACGCCGTACGCCGCGTATAGCGTTACGCCGTACATTGCGTATACCGTTACGCCGTACGTCGCGTCTGTATGCTTGTGCAGCAGTTGTTATGCTGCGTTTAGCGTAGGTACAATAAGAGACTGCACCCATTATTTATTTTATTACAGGGTGAGTCATAACTATTGGGACATAGACCAAGGACAAGTTATTTGGACCAAAATATGGCTATTAGGTCAAATATGCCTTAATAAAATGTTGCCGAGAAAAAAGATACAGGGTGTTAAAGTTAATTTTTGTTTTTCGTTTTTTGCTAATAGTTTCCCTGTATATTTATAAA